GTTGGCAATCAAAGATTTACAGATTATTTTCAATACAGATGTGCATGTATGAGTACGAAACTTTAATTTGAAAAATTTGATTTGTGCGATAAAAATATTACTGATATCATAAGAGAAGTATTTTAAAGATATTCATAACTTTCAAGAGTTCAATCTATTAATGTTTCGGATAAGTTAAGAACTCCAACCACACAAACATTATTTAAGTTGTGTATGCTAAACTAAGAACATAGTGTTATGCTATTTATTTAGCTATTTCATAATTTTTTCCCTTTTATGAACAAGACACGTGAGGCCACATTTACCTACTTTAGGAAGTCAAAGGGAATGAATATTCTCTGTTGCTATGTGGAAATGGTTATATGCATGAATGTAGATAGATCATCGAAGAGCTCGTATCGTGAAATATATTTTTTCCATTTGAAAAGTAAAGGCTAAGCTGAGGATCCAGACCAAAGACATTATCTTTCCACTTACGTACCCACCACAGCTCACAAGTCAACAGTCGGCCTTGAACTAATATAAACGAGAAAAGAAACTGAAATGCGCAGCTGAAGGAGGAATCAAACCGAAGAGGAAACCTTACAGCCAGTTTCTATTTGAACAAACTCTATTCAAGTCTATATACACACTGACTCATATTTTGTGCTCCATCGAATGAGTCAATATTACAATTTACAAGGAAATGACTGGATGGCATATGATTAGTTTAGGGGCTTAAGAGATTATTTCTTCACGATCCTAGTAGCAGAAGAATAATGCCGTATCTAAAAGTTAAATACATCTCTTTATCTTAAATTTTTTCCTTTGTTTCAAATCAGAAGACGGTAACAATACAGCAATATAATGATCGTCTTTTTCAGTCAACCGGGTTGTTGCTTCTGGAAAGTGACTTCCTCTATTCGCCCAGTGGTCACTCTACATAAATATTCTTCTTTAAACATAATTATCAAAGACTTTAATCGATGTAAAAATTGTATAAGAATGTTTACAAGTGGAAGTTAGATGTGTCAAATATCGTATCATAGCTTTGTAAAACTGTCAAAGTGTCCGACATTCTTAACTCTCGAGCTCCCAGCTTTGTAAAACTGTCAAAGTGTCCGACATTTTAAACTCTAGAGCTCACAGGATTGTAAAACTGTCAAACTGTCCGACATTCTTATCTATAGAGCTCCCAGCTTTGTAAAACTGTCAAACTGTCCGACATTCTTATCTATAGAGCTCCCAGCTTTGTAAAACTGTCAAAGTGTCCGACATTCTTAACTCTAGAGCTCGCAGCTTTGTAAAACTGTCAAAGTGTCCGACATTCTTATCTATAGAGCTCCCAGCTTTGTAAAACTTTCAAAGTGTCCGACATTCTTATCTATAGAGCTCCCAGCTTTGTAAAACTTTCAAAGTGTCCGACATTCTTATCTATAGAGCTCCCAGCTTTGTCAAACTGCCAAAGAGCTCCCAGCATGCCTCTTCACTAGCACCACAACCACGGCTTACACTGTGCTGACTTGCAACACATCAGAACGCTCGTTTGACTTATGCTCCATGGCCTCCAAACAAATGTTTCTCCATCAGGAATGACGTCAACAATGCTTGGTGTAATGTACTCACCGGTGGAGGAGACAAATACATCATGACTCGGATTTGTTTTAACCTTTTCTATAAGTGGTGCTTAGTAGATTTAATCACTGATTAAATAAAAACTGCACTCGATTCCAATATTGCTGCCGACCCTCCTTATCTTACGATAGAGGTCCTCTATAAACGATGTTACACTCCTATTAAGGCGGGAGGGAGAGGATCGTGTGAGGTCATTAAAGGATGACACTTTGAGAAAAATTTTGTTATTAGCTGTGAAACTTAATATTTTCCTCCGGATTATAAAAATTAAACAACCACGCCATAATGGGTCTCCATTTATTACGTCCAAACGGGTGGGGAGGGGGAGCATCTAAAATAATCATTTTTTTTTTTGTGGACGCGTGTGGGCTGGGTTGGGTTAACTAAAATATCAGTTCGGGGGCCAGAGTTTCTTCCAGGAATCTCGTCGGGTTGGCGAAGCTCCCCCCCCCCCCCAACGAAGTATAATAATTTAGCAAGAAGTATATACCAATTTCTGAAAGAAACACTGTCGGGGACCGACAACACACTCGAGATCCAAGTTTGTTCTCAAATGGTTCTTCACATTTACATTCTTGAAAATGTTTGTTCACACAGATATGTTGTTCCAAAAAAAACTTATAAAACCCCACCCGCCCTTCTTTGAACTTGTCTCTAAGGAGGTTTTTTGCTTGCAATTCACTGACCTCCAGCTGCAGTTCATATGGACAACTGGCTACATTTGCTTCAAATGGGTTTTGAAACAGTCTCACTTCTTCTGCCTTCGAATCCAAGTCAGAAAATTGGTACTGAAACTGCAGCTAAAGGTCGTTGATGATCTCGCAAATGATTCAGCTGTAGCTTCAGCCATGAAGCCCTTGCACTGCTGAAACTGCTTCAAGCTGTTGGCATGTACTTGTTTAAAAAAAAAGGCAAGTTTGGATCTGAAGGCCTTTAGGTGGGTGTATAGAACAGAAACTAGATTTTACTCTGCTTGTAGTTTTAGGTTCAGAAAATTTAAATGACTAGTTATGACAGCAGAAAGGCAAAGTTCCATACCCACTCTTCATTAGACATTAGGGGTCGGCGTGGTCGAGCTCAAGATTGCTGAACCGAAAAGTCTGGGGACAGCCAGACTAGGAGAGAAAACTCCAAAATCAAACAACTGCTGCCTTGTAGTTTGTTCTTGGTTGGACAAAGGCCATGGAAGCAAATCCAAAAAGAAAAGCAGGCTGAAATCGGAGTCAATGGCGCATAACCAGTTGAAACGTATCCAGTGTTTCTTCCAGACATTTTTCTCCGAGGGGACACTTAAAATTTTCGGGTGGGCTGTAGACTTCCTTCGGGGGGGCGGGGGAATATAATGTATATATTTTCTATATAAATAAATTCCATTTCGTTCGGGGGGGGGGGGGGGGGGTAGACTTTCAGTTGGGCAGAGCCGCCCCCTACCCCCGAAGAGATGCCTGGAAGAAACTCTGCACGTATCCTTAATTATGTTGAGGGGTAGCCCTTCCAACGAAGAAGAAGAAGAAAGATCAGACATTGATGGCTGTGGCTTGCCTTTACTTTCTAGGAAGTAACATATTTCCTTTCTTAACTTAAATACTCTGCTCAGAAACTTTCCCACAACTTAGCCATCATACTGCTGTTTAATATGGTAAATGTTGCGATTCTGTGTCTGAACTGTCTATGGTGACCGTATGAAATTCAACATCTTCATCATAGGATTCAGTACACTGCTAATGTCCATATATTTAGCAAACAAAGCTTGCTGGTGAATAATACAGTGCAGGAACATTAGTTGTTGAATGTTTTTCTCATACGCGTGTCCAACTTTATGCAACTCATGTACTTTCCTTTATCAACAGTCAGGTAACTGAGGTTAGTCAAGTCCAAGTTATAATCAGCAAATTTTTTAAACTCATTGAATATATCCTCTCCGGTAACAGTGACATGCATGCTATGTAGGGAAGCCAGCTCTTGTGTTATGCTCATGTCTTCATCCACTCTTCTAATGAACACAAGCAGTTGAGAGGTGGAACAGCTGTCCAGCGACTCGTCCATTAAAATTGAAATATGGCGAAACTTGCATTTTTCACTTTTTGAGTCACAATGTATTCACCCACGTCTGCAACACGGCGGGCTATGATATTTGCACCCAAAGCTACATTTTCAAAAAAAAATTAAAATTCTGTGGACACAAAGATTTCCGCGGGCCGGATGAGAGGACCTCGCCCGGCACGCGGGCCGTAGTTTGGAGACCCCTGCATTATATCATAAGGGACGTTAAGATTTTTAAACAATTTTTACCTCCCCTTTCTCCACAACGTCATATATCTTAAAAAAATAAAATCCAACACCTAAGATGACATCACACCTCAGCCTACCACACATCTCAAAACTGTTATTAAAAAGAAACTGCAATTTTTTTTTCTAAAATATTTACTAAGCAGGGTCAACGTTGAGTAGGTCTAGATTGACTTTTATTTTAAAAAATTAAAAATACCTAAGTGAAGCAACGGCTTAAATTCAGATTCTAGCATTATTGCAAAAGGGTGTCGTCATACTTTCTGAAACCATCCTCCAGATATTTATACTTAGACGTTTAAAATATACTACTTTTTATCTAGATTGAGTCGAGATTGTCCTTTTGATATGAATGCCTAATTACAAACTTCGAAAAAATGTATGCCTTAAAGTATTTTTTATGTACACAACACATGTTATTGAAATAGTCGCGTGGAGGGGACGTTATAAATGGATGACCCCTAATACGATCCACTATCAGAGGTAACCCTTGAAGGCCTTTATGAATTGTCATTATAAGACAGGTTGCTATTTCAATGACATTTTAAACGCTTGCTGAATAGGCCAACAATCGGACTTGTTGTCTGAATCCTCCACCATATTCAAAAATTAAGAACGAAGAAGAAGAAAAGAAGATCAACAAACCCCCCAAATGACATGATTTTATCTGTTGCTAAATTGTTGTATATATTATTATAAACATTAGAAAAGTTTATGCGTCGTCTCTTGAGGGTCGTCCATAAACGACGTGACACAGCTATCAGGGAGTGGGCGGGACACATTTCTGTGACGGGGGGGGGGGGGATTTTAGAAAAAGACGAGACACCATAATACGTAATGTTAGAAAACGTTAAATTATGTTTTAAAAACACTTTTTAAAGTTATGAACTGAAAAGATAATTGATCAATAACCTCAAGGTCGACAGACTTCAGTAAATACTTTAGAAACTAATGGCTGTTATAAATTTTAAAAAAAAAAAAAGCAATTTTGAACCGGGGTTGGTAGGCTAAGGTTTGAGGTCATTTTAGGAAAGAAGATAAAAGTTGGTTTAAAGCGCGTGAGATCGTTTATGGGGATCCTTTAGCTATAAACTCACGTGTAGTAGGGTTACGAAGAATAATCCGTCGCAAATGTGCACGCCAAGATTTTTCTCTATTGTGAAACTTTGGTAAGGCGCCTCTGTGTAGAAAAAAAAAAGATTTTTAGACTAGTCACAACCAGAACATTAGTAATTGTATGCTTGGAAATAAAAAAAATATTGTGATCTTGTCCAGATAAGCCGCGATAAAAGTTAGCTCCCGCCTCCCAAATAAAGGGTTATAAAAAAAGATTTGAAACTTGTACTTCTAGATTTTATTAAAGACGGTTAAATTGGCACAAGTCATTAATAATTTGCAAACTGTCTATATTTTGGTGCCTTTTACCCTAGAGGCCAGTGTTTCTTCCAGACTTTTTTCTCAGGGAGGGGGGCACTTGATATTTTCGGGGGGGGGGGGGGGGCGAAGAGATGCCTGGAAGAAACTGCTAGAGGCGGATAAGAAGTTTTAAGGCGTGCGTTTAAATATTCAAATATCTAGACATCAGAAATATGTCATAAATGGCGGGGCTTAACTTTTCGCCCGAAAACTTTTTTGCATTAGTGGTAGGGCCCATCTGGACAAGATCTGAATATAGTCTCATGTTTTTCCCAAATATTTTGCTCAAGGGGTTGACTGATAAATGATATAAGAATGGTTAAAGTATCATAAAGCCTATATTTTGTCTTGTGTTTTTATTCAATTTTTTTATTTATCTTTGGTATTAAACTCATCAAATACACTTACCATAATCAACTGGCATATTAATAAAATGTATTTTATACTATCAAGCAAAGACAAAATTAATATCAGTGTTTAAAAATTTAATTTGTTAAAAAAAAATATAATAGCCTAAAAATAAAATAAACAACAGCAAGTATGTATGGCTGCCAGACAAGGTTTTTCCACCTTTTATTTCTATATCCTCTTTCTGTGCAACATAAATTAGTCTATAAATAGTTGTCCTTATTCTGTTTTTAATGCCCTAAGTAGCCTATTGGCATTTCAAATTTAAAAAATTTAAAGATTGGCTGGCTTTCTTTAATATTACAGGCTTGACTCATTTTCAACAGTCTGAACATCTCAACATTCCAGATTCAAATTGTAACTAGCTTTTTGTATACAACTTATGGGTAGGCCTATATTTATTATCACAGTCTACACAATAAAATACCAAATAGATCTACTAGATTCTATGTATGATGTATAAAAACTAATAGATCTAGGCTATCTGAGATCTCTCTAAAAATTTAGATATATAACTAGATATAAGCCATTAGATTAATATTAATACCTATAGGCCCCTATGGTAATATAATAGGTAATGATAGTTATTTGCAATTGGTATTTAATTATAAGCTTACAGATCTATATCTATTATCTAGATTCTAGTTCTTACTAAGCTCTCTCTAGATTCTAGATGTCTATACTCTATAGACTCTAGATAGTAATAGTATATAAGTATTATAGTATAATATAGATCTAGATCTATAGGCCTACAAATGCTAGATCTAATCCAGATTCTAGATCTATATTCTATTTCTAACTAAGGAGTTAAAACTAAGATTCAGAACAGTGTCATATGCCATGGGCCTACACTAGATCTATTATATTATAATAATTCTAGATCTAGATCTACTACTACTAATCTACTAGATCTAGGCTTAGTATTAGTTAGACTCTATATTTAATTTTATTACATTAAAATGTATGCCTCTTGTATTATAATTATTTCTTTTTGAAAAGTGCTGCGGAAAACATATTTTATTAGCTCTAGATTCTAGATCTAGATCTCTAGGTCATTCTAGATCTAGGCCTAGATCTATCTACTATTAATCTATTTATTCTATTATCTAGGCCTATAGAATTTAAACTAATTTAGTAATTACTACTAATTACTAAACAATAAACAATCAGGCCTAGATCTAATTTTAATTTTAATTTAAATTAGATCTAGAAATCTAGAATCTAGATCTAGATTCTAGATCTAGATATATCTAGATCTAAATCTAGATCTAATAGTAATACGATTAATCAGATTTCTAGATTCAGATTCTAGATCTAAACTAAATAAAATAAAATTGAAAAAAAATTGGCAGGGGACTTAATTAATTATTAAACTTACCCATCTCTCTCATTCCAGTCATCATCCTCAGAAAAGGAATCACTGTCGTCTCGCATCCATTTGAAATCAATGCCATCGCAATCACCACCTGTTGCCTCATCGTCAAAAGACATTTTAGGCCTACAGTGCGCACCATTAATTTTAACTCTTCACTTTTCATTAATTGCAACTCTGAGTAGCATAACAATGCTGAATAAACAATCTAGCCTAGTTTGGAAAACAAACAAAAAACATATCAGGCCTGACAATAAGCCCCATTTTAAATACACTATGGAATCTAATCTAGATCTAGATCTAGATCTAGATATAGGCTACACTACTTCTTTAAAAAGTGTTGTTGTGTTGTTTAGTGTTCACTTTTCTTAGTTTTCAGAGTTCAGCTTTGGAAGATATTCACACAAATTAATGCAATGCGGCAACGTCTATTCTATCTACTAGATCTAGAATCTAGATCTAGTCTAGAATTTGGTGAGCTTTGCGTTAATTAACAGATTTTAAAACTGCTTAGGGCCTACAAAATTTTTTTTTTTTAAAAACCAGCATCGTTACTAGATCTAGATCTATTCTACATCTAGATCTACTCGTCTAGGTGCCTAAATAGTAAATAAAAATAATAGGCCTATCCTACAATACGCGTAGGTCTACTGCTACCTTAGTACTTTAAATTTGATAGGCCTACCTAAAAAAAAACAACTAAAGAATTAGCATAGGCCTACTGGATTCGATTTATTTTATTTAACTAGATCTAGATCTAGATCTAGATATCAAGAGTGTAGACATATCTAAATAAAGGAGAACAACTTTAAAATGAGACATATCACTAAGAACTATTGCATTAAAAATAAACATAATCTCTAGATTAGATTCTAGATCCACTGCTTTCATAAGTTCTGTTACTGTTTGTAATGAGAATAACCACCTGTAATTCACAAGTGTCAATTTAGAAATAGTAGGTTCCAGAAGTTTGCTCTAGTTACTTTCAACTTTCAGTTTTTATTTAAAGATCTAGAAATCTAAATTTAAACAGCTCAAGATTAAATAAATTGATGCTAAACTAATACCTTGACTCTAACCTACATTACCACAGTTCTGATCAGATGTGTAGTCGGAACGTACACGTTCCGTGTCAAGAGAAGAATTATTTCCACACGTGACTGATCTTAGCTTGTTAAAACTAGATCTCACAAAATTCCTTCACGCTTCGTTAGAAACTTAGTACAGTATGTAGATCTAAATCTAGGCCCTATCTAGATCTAGATTTCTATTATGTAGGCTAGTATTTCTTGTCTAAATTTGTCGTAGTGTCAAACAGCTAAAAGGATCTACATTTTCTTTGACGTGAAATGTGAACAAAGTGTTTGCAGGAAACCTTTTGCTGTTTGGTAAACAAGTAGCAAGCGTGCTTTTCTAACCTACATTTGGCCCAGTGAAGCGAATCACGTCGTGTCTAAGCTTTCGCTTTTAACACACATGCCTGCTTACTAGAAACTCCGCCCTTACCCTAGTCTCTCGTCATCATGTTTATAAATAGCAATGCTAGGGCATGCTACGGCTGCTAGGGGTCAAAGCTATAAGCTGGAAGAAGCCCAATGTAACATTATTATATAGGCCTTCATTGTTGTAGAATAATGTAGAATCTTCACAGTAAGCAGAAATTTGGTTATTTTAAAACGCATTTTGTTAGCACCCCAAAACTCGGTTTTATAGGCCTAGTGATGATATTGTTTCAGTATTTAAAGACATTTTCATCCAGGCTAGCGAACCGCAGAACTTACTTAGCACTGACCGCGGAACAGTGTTGGTGGTCATCCATAAATGACGTCACGCTTTTTTTGGACGATTTTTACCTTCCCCCCCCTCCCCTCCGTCACACGTCGTCACAAAAAGCCAGACCCCCCCCCTAAAATGACGTCACACCTCAACCTACAACCCCCCTCAAAATTGCCGTTGAATTTTTTAAAAACATCGATACTTTTCCAAAATCTTGTCTAAACTATTACAATTTATTAAAACAGTTATCTAAAACGCGAAATAACGTCTAAAATTCGTTTTCTAACATTGCTTTTTTATAATGCAAAATTGTGACGTCGCAACATCTGAACCCTCCCCCTCATCACACATCGTCACAAAATTACGGACCCCCCCCCCCCCCTCACCCCCTACGAGTGTGACGTCTTTTATGGATGGCCCCTTGCCTCCAGACATTTTTCTCCGGGGGACTAAAATTTCGAGGGGGGGGGGGGGGGCGGCGAGGACACGGTTAAATGTATATATTTTATATAAATTCCATTTCGTTGGGGGGGGGGGGGGGTAGACTTTCTTGCCCCCCCCCCCCCCCCCCCCCCGAAGAGATGCCTGGAAGAATCTCCGAGCCTAAGCGCTGTGTTATTAATATTATTGTACATTAAAGTCTGTGTTCTTTTCAGACATTTTTGCTGGGGGGGGGGGTTCTTAAAACATTTAGGTAGATAAGTACAGTGGCGTAGCGAGGTCGGGTGTCGGTTTTTCTCTATATATTTTGCTATTTTTTTGCCTTGGTGTCACCCCCCTAAATGGTGTCACCCGGTGCGGTCCGCACCCCCGCCCCCCCCCCCCCCCTCGCTACGCCCCTGGGTAAGTGCACTTAAATTTCCGAGGGCCGGACGGACGCTCGTTAAAATAGGCACTATTCTTCACCGATGCTCGCTTTTTGCATACAAGTTTTGGGGTACGGACAGTAGGCCTATATTGTCAAAATGAGTGATCGACGGTAAATATTACAACTTGTTTTTGGGTGAAATGGACAAATTAATAAACCGTTTAGAAGTTACGATGGCATCATGACACAACATATTTATCAAGATTTTTTTTTTCAAATTTCACCCCTTGAATGCCCCTCCCTCCCTCTACCCCTGCGCATGGTCGATCGTCTGTTTGAATCGAGAGAAATAAAGAAATTATCAAAAGATCTAGTATCAGTAGGCCAGGCATAGTACCGGATTTAAATAGGAATGTATGGTTTGAAGTGGGCATAGTTTCATCGATCCGCTGATTCAATGCTGAATGTCTTTATTTAAATTAAATTACTATCAAGAGAAGCGTGGGTCTCTTCCTAAACATTAGTATAGGTATCAAATAGATAGATAATACAGTGACCCACGCTTACCTTTAATAGTCCAGGCCAGGCCCTGCACTGGTTTCTGTGAAAAACCTGTCTGTAAAGGACGATGACTTGTGTGTTTGTTAAGCAGCATATACCCGGCATGGACGTTTGACAAAAGAACACATAACCCTAAACCTAGCACTAACTTTAAACTCAACACTAACCACAACCATCAAAAACCAAAAGCAAACGTAGGCACTAAACATTGTTGCATTTACAAAAGCAGGATTTTTCCACTTGAATTAATAACTGGTGTAATTAGGCCCCTAATTGCTTTTTCCAGGTGGATTAATATAAATTGACTCCATTCGACAAACAATGAGCGGGGGTTGGGGTAACACTAAATACACCGTCCACCGAAGTGGATTTGGGTGAAACCACATTGGAAATTTACAAATGTACATGTCAATAGACAATAAAAAGCGAGCAACAAATAAATAGAACTGGTTGGCTTGTCACATTGACACATTTTGACGCTTTTCGTCAGCCATGAAAAGAGTTGCTAAATGGGTTTGAAACAATTAATTCAAGCATAAAATCATTTTCAGTGGCGTCGCTAGGTCGGGTGTCACCTGGTGCGGCACTTCGTGGTGTCACCCCCCCCCCTCCAAGAAACAATATATATAGACCTATATTATATATATATATATATATATATATATATATATATATATATATATATATATATATATATATATATATATATATATATATATATATATATATATATACATATATATATATATATATGTTACGGTCAAAGCCCGAAGTGCGGCCAAACCCCGGATTGGCCGGCCAATGTGCGGATTGGCCGGCTCTCTTGGCCAAAGCCCGAAGAACTTAGAACTAAGATCGTATTTCGTAAATTGGCCGGCCAATGCGCGCACTGGCCGGGACGTACTGGCCAAAGTCCGAAGTGCTTAAACTTGACAGCGTATTTTGTACATTGGCCGGCCAATGTATATATATATATATATATCGATATATATATATATATATATATATATATATATATATATATATATATATATATATATATATATATATATATTACTAAATGTGTACTTAAAATTATTAATGGGGCAGGCTAAAAAGCATTTTTCGTCTGAAAGTTTGGGTATTTTTTGCCTTGATGTCACCCCCCTAAATGGTGTCACCCGGTGCGGCTTGCACCTCCCGCCCCGCCCTCGCAACGCCTCTGATCATTTTAATCTTTACATTTTGTATATTTTGAAATAGAATATGTAAAATTATAGTAATTTGATAAAACTATAGTATATAGTTGCGAGAAATATGACGAATACACGTTTGATGACGCGGATGAAAGAGAGTGAAGTTTTGCCATAGGAACGGGTTGTTATGGTATGCAAGCTAAGTAGTTCGGACTAGGTAGAATGTGAGAGATACTTCGTGTAATGTCGATATCAAGGATAGTTTTATGTTCATTTATACGAGAATAGCAGTTGAATAATTATTGACCAAGAAAATAATAGGCATTGTGTAAAGTGATTATCGCCTGTATCGTGGTGATGGGAATGAACATGGTAGTGGTATGCTTTAAATGGTAGTAGATCACGTGATCAAACACGACACTCTCACAGCAGCTCTAACAGTCATGTATAAATGTGTCATCTAGTCCATATAGTCTTTGTGCTAGATTTCTCTTTTGCATATTTTTCGTTGTGTTTTTTCTGGTTGCGCATTTTTCTGTTTGCGCTTTTTAATGTGTGCGCTTTTTTCTGTTTGCGCTTTTTCCGTTTGCGCTTTTTTGTGTTTGCGCTTTTTTCTGTGTGCGTTTTTTTCTGTTTGCGCTTTTTTCCGTTTACGCTTTTTTCTGTTTGCGCTTTTTTTTCGTTTGCGCTCTTTTCTGTTTGCGCTTTTTTCTGTGTGCGCTTTTTTCTCTTTGCGCTTTTTTCCGTGTGCGCTTTTTTCCGTTGCGCTTTTTGTTTTGCGCTTTTTCCGTTGCGCTTCTTCCTGGGAACAAT